GAACGACTCTTTCATCCCCGGCCGGTCCTCTCGGACGGCTTTCTACTGGAAACCCGAAGACTCGTCCTCCGCAGGTGCCGCCAGTTCAACCTTGACTGTACCGGCGTTAAACACCTGAGTTCCAGCAGATTTCTGGGAATCATCAGCACTTGCTGGGCTCGCTACCGAGTCATCATTTGAGATCACTGGGACTCTACCCTTCATCTTACACTTGATGACTTTACCATCGGGAGCTATGAAGTATGGAACCTTGCCCGCAGGCCAATGGAAATCATATCCATCGTCCATGCATCTTCTCCCAACAGAACAAACCGGTGGCGTGCTTTCCAGTAGATAGCACTCAATGTTTTGCTTCAGTTCAGGCATCGGGATGTTGGTTGACTTGATTCCCTGAACTGGACCATTAGCTGTAATCAAGTTGACCGGCCTACTAGCGTTTTCGATGGGAGCCTCTGGATAGTAGATAGAGTGATCGTGCCTACTGATCAGATCTTCTTCACTGCCAGTATCGGCGAGGAATTCTAATCCCGCATTAAAGCTAGAGCATGCTGTTCTTTCCACGCTAGAACACAGCTCGCACTTCAACACTGCAACTGGGATCTCACCCTCTTCGCAGTCATCTGTGCACTCATACTCACAGTGGCTTTCAATCCCATTGAGCATACAGGACATGATCCTGGCAAGCTCGTTCGCTGTTCTTATGGCCGTGCTTAGGTCCTGAACTGGAGGCTTTGGGCAGCTTTCAGCATCCAAGTAACAAACTTCGAAAGTTCGCGGTTTGGTCCTATGCTTCTTACCCTTACCATCCAATGGAATCTCCCGAATGCTTGGCTTCTCCTTGAACCTTAATTTCTTGAACGTTCCTGAAGCATCACCCTTAACGCCTTGCCCATTGGGCACAGCTGCCAGCGCATACGAAATGCAACAAGCTGCCGTGCGTCCGCCAGACTTTTCCTTGCTCTTGGACCTGCCCCTGTGTTTCTTTTCCTTCTTTGCTTTAGGATCCGGGGTCGGGCTCCTAGGCTTTTCATCGTTCTTCGCAGGGGCGGCCTGCTCGGTAGGAGCGGCGTCAGTTGGATTGGGCTTATCTTGATGCAGGAACCTACAGTCTTTGCCTTTGTTGCACTTGCCTTTCTTCCAAAAGGTGCAAATCGCGTTGATCTTCTTCTGAGGCGTTCGATGAGGACTTGGGGATCTTGACTTTGGTTTGTGGAGAAACTTACACTTGTCGCCTCTTGTGCATTTCCCTTTCTGGAAGTCGTAACAAACCTGTTGTGTTTTGGGACTCTGAGATCTAGGCGGTGTTCGTTGGCTCGATCCTTTGCTGCTTGTTCTGGATTTTGAGCTACTTCGGGACATGCTTCTTCCACGGCCTCCTCGCGAAGAGGGGCGACGTTCAGATCCGTACGCTGGGGCCCCGTATCTATCGCCATGCGACTTAGCGATGCGATCACGGTTCTTACGCATCCGTTCTCTAGTTAGATGCTCCCTAATGGCATTGACAAGGAATTCATACGTGTGTACGGGGTTTCCTTCCTTTGCCCTGCCGTACAGCTGAAGATCGTACTTGATGTGGTGAGATTTCCGAATTTCCCTCAGCAAAATGTCCCTCAAAGTAACCTCATCCGGAACATGACTCATTCCAGCAATCACCGACTCGAAGTTGTAAAGGAAGGTAGCCAAATCGTCCCCAACCAACTTCACTTTCAAAAGGTCTTCTACGCTATAGAGGCTTCCGACTTCTTCATTAGTCTTAAAGTGTTGATGAAACATCCACAATACTTGTCTTCCCCTGACGGCACGTCCTCCTGTGGCCTCTGTTTCTTTGAAGTTTAGGACTTGCCTTGAAATCTCTCCTCTAGCGACTCTGGTAAGTGCAGCCAACAACTTCGTGTCCAATGTTAAGAATTTCCCAGTGTCATGTAAGGACTTGAGGGTAGCCTCTTTATCATATACTTCCTGCACCCAGCGAAATGCCTCATCCGGGCGATCGCTCGCAGCCCGCACAATCTCGCGGACCGAGATTCGCCACGATCGGTAGGTCTCTGGATTAGGGTAATCGGGAAGCTTGATACTTTCGGCTTCTTTCACCTTTGGTTTGCCCTCTTCATCTTCGGTCTTAGGGGTAAGCAAGCGTGCTGCCCTAATCAGTGCCTCAGCTCCGAAATCAACATGTGGAACCCCGTCTGGATCAACAGTCGCCGGCTTACCCGTTTGGGCAGCTTTAGGAGACTTTTCCTTTTGTGGCTCTCTGTTCTCAAACCCAGGTGGTACAGAAGTTCCTTGCGGAGGTTCCTGAGCTTGCGG